ACTGCTATTTGCACAATATTGCAATGTCACATACAATCCAAAATGTGCATATTTCTTTCCTGGCCGGTCTAAGCTGGCAATCTGAGCTAGGAAAAGATTATGCAGCTGCAATCTCAATACTGTGCCTCCTAGTCATAGCTGTTGTGTTTTACCACAGTTGACAAAATAATACATATTTCAGAAACCGATCTTTATTTTGCTAAGTAGCTACTGTCAGAGATCCAAAGAACGTATGACCCTTCTCTTTGCACTGATCCCTGTGCTATTACATGACATGGGAAAAGCCCGATTACCTATATGAATCTTTCATTTCATGCACTGGAATGGTCTTTGGAGATTTGAGGATACACACTAGAGCCTGTTATGTTATGTTTCTATATTCCTAGGCTCTATGAATACTTGTAGTGTACACAAATGTACAGTCAGCAAACAAAAACAAATACCACTATCTACTGCAACTGTCTTCACAGTACGCAGACTATTCAGATGCAATTCATTTTAAGACAATATATAGCAGCTTTGCATAAAATCAATCTATTTTTTATGGGTAAAACTAAAAAAGTATATTTTTTAAAACATATTATTATGAAAAATTGAAAAAGAATGAGAAGAAAAAAATATTTGTGTTTTTTACTTCAAATCAGCAGGTTTCACAGAAAATTGACAGATATAAGCTGAAACATGTTTCTAAGCCTTATCATAAACACCTAATATAAACTTGATATGAAAATAAATCATTCTGTAAATACCCATTGATAGTACATGACAGTCTCTACTAAACCTGGAAAAAGATCTACCTCCAACCAAATCCTGTCAGGGTAAAAAGTAAATCAGATATAATGGAAAGCCATGTGTAATCAATATTGTTTTCCACCACAACACCAAAAGCATCTGTAGAACATCACTTTCCATAGTCTATTCTTAAAAGGTTGCACAATAACAACTTGTCTCGAATGTATGGGGTGGGGGGGACAGGTTAAACTGTGCCCAACATATTCACCCGGGCCCCCCCACCTCCCCCTTCCCAATGTTTATGGTAACTCGGAAACTGAGCTGTAGCAGAAATCCAAATGTTTAATTATGTTACCAAGCACTACATAACAAGCTCTCACAGACCTTTGTAGCTGCAGACAACACGGATCAGTTCATCCTCAATGAGCACGAGGTGCAGTAAAGTCCTAGAGTTTAGTCTCGGAACCCCCCCCCCCCCCCCCCACACACACACACACACACACACACCATTTCCTCTTTTCCCCCTTCCAGAGAACCCGCTTTGTATTTATATTAGAGATTAGGAGTATGAAAAGCTATCACACCACTGCAGCAAAGGAGGAGCAGAATGAGCAAAGCTGCTAAAACAAAAGCATTTCTGCTTTAAAGATTTGTGGACAAATTATTCAATAGTGTGTGCAGATACAGAGGTCAATCATGGCTTGGTGTATAACTCAGAGTTTGTAATGAATGTATAATATTTGAACGTCTATAGCCAGGCTATACAGTAGCTCTACAAAAATCACAAATGGTTGGGGCATGCCTTTTTTTCTTGTAACCTCCTGTGTACCCACAGGAGGGTAGCCCTGTCTGTGAGCTCTACAAATGTTTTTGACCTCTCACTACTATGAACTCATATCAGTGCCTCTTGGATGCTTTTTTCTTCATTATATTTCCTACAAGATGATATACAACTGGATCATGTAATTTATTTCATGTATATAGTGTTATTCAGAAATCTCAAACCTGTGCCATATAGCATTTTATCAATAAAACATTCTTGAGATTTTATTAAAGAACAATTAGATAAATGAGTAAATGATTCTTAACCAAAAATATAATTTTTTTTAATTTTAAGTATTTTTTTTAAGCTATTTCAACCAAAATACACCATGTACAGGTGTATGGTGTAGATTAAGCAAGCAATAAAGCTGGACACAAATGTGATTGTACAATCTTTTAATATAGTTTGAATGGCAGAAAAAATAGACTGCACAATCTGATTATTGTACATCATTCTGGAGAGCTGGGAATTAATTCCCTACTTTTTCAAATTCAGAATATCTTATTAAGGTAAAAGTGAAATGTGTACTGTCTAGTTACTCATTTGGAAAAATCAAACTTATCTTCTACTGATTCAAGAGACATTACCTCTCAAATCCTTTGATGCAATAAATGTTTAAGGAAACCTTAAACAATAATGCAACATTATTCCCTTACACATGCTGAATATAATAAAAGTCACATGATGCCATTTTAGTCCTTGTAAACCTGGCAACTCTTAGCACAGATTCATCAATTCAGGCTACAGAATGATGGTGTTGTGTTGCACTCAGATAAGTAGCATGCCTGTTTTGGCTATGCAAATATGGTAGGCGACAAAGTAAACCTTTGGGCACTCCATACTCCTATAGCATTTTTGATGTGCCCAACATATTACTGGAGTCTGTGTATTGCCATCTGGATGTCAAGTCATTATTTGGCATGCACAAAACATCCTACATGTATGCAATATACTTTATAGCTAAGTGAATCCAGAGCCAAACCCTTTTTTGTATTTTAAGTTTTGAATAAAGTGGGGAAAGGTTAAAAATTCTCATCAGGTTTTACTGTTGTCAGAGGCTACATTGGAGAGGTCCTTTCACTTTGTCTGGTAAAAAGCTTAAATTACTTGTTTGGAGATTATTAAGGCGGGACTTTACCGCTTAACGTGCATTGGCTGTTGCAATGATATATACACAGCACACAGCACATTATGGCAGACGTAAAGAGTATGTTACCCCAACATTTCATATTTTTGAAATGTGCATGTTGTACCATGTATTTTTGTTTAAAAATATCCTATTCTCACCATATTTCCTTCTGTGTGTGAAATATCTGGTGATCCTACCAGTCCCCTGCTTTTCCATTTCAAACTGACCACACTAAAATTAGAAGCTCATCCATCCCTGCGTAGTCAGTTTTCTGGCTGTGCTGTCAGCATAGCCTGCTTGACATCCAGTGGCCAAGACTACTGCTGATAAGCCCCCATACACAGATCTTCACCAGACCAGTGTATTGCACTTCCTCTGTCTCCTGGCAACACCCCTCTGCAGTCTCCACCCTTACCTTATATACAGCAGAGAACAGAGGATATGTGATCACTTCTAAAGAAATTCTTCCTTACAAAAGTCTTCCAGTTTTCTTTGAGATTTCTGGGCTGTCTGTCACGCACTGCTCTTTTAAGGTCTATCCATAGATTTTTCAATTATGTTGAGGTCAAGAGATTGTGAAGGCCATGGCAAAACCTTCAGTTTACGCCTCTTGATGTAATCCCCCGTGGATTTCGAGGTGTGTTTTAGGATCATTATCCATTTGTAGAAGCCATCCTCTCTTTAACTTCAGCTTTTTCACAGATGGCATCAAGTTACCATCCAAAATTTGTTGAAATTTTATTGAATCCATTTTTCCTTCTACTCGTGAGATGTTCCCTGTGCCACTGGCTGCAACACAACCCCAAAGCATGATTGATCCAACCCCATGCTTAACAGTTGGACAGAGGTTCTTTCATTAAATTCTATGCCCCTTCTTCTCCAAACGTACCTTTGCTCATTCCGGCCAAAAAGTTCAATTTTAACCTCATCGGTCCACAGAACTTGTTTCCAAAATGCATCAGGCTTGTCTATATTTTCATTTGCAAAGTTCAAACGATGATTTTTGTGGTGAGGACGTAGAAGAGGTTTTCTTCTGATGACTCTTCCATGAAGACCATATTTGTACAAGTATCTCTTTATAGTGGAATAGTGTACCACAACTCCAGTGTCTGCCAGATCTTTCTGGAGGGGATCGTGCAGTCAAACGTGGGTTTTGAATTGTTTTTCTCTCACAATCCTGCGAGCTGTTCTGTCTGATATTTTTTTTGGTCTTCCAGATCTTGCTTTAACTTCCACTGTTCCTGATGACTGCCATTTCTTAATTACATTCCGAACAGAGGATATTGACATCTGAAAATGCTTTGCTATCTTCTTATAGCCTTCTCCAGCTTTGTGAGCGTCAACTATTTTCAGTTTCAGTTTTCTAGACAACTGCTTAGAAGAACCCATGATGCTGATTGTTGGGGCAAGGTCAGATGAGTCTGGGCATTTAAAACCTTTGAGATTGATATCACCTGGTCTTCCCAGACGATGATTGAGAACAATCCATGACACTGGCAGGTCTCAGCTTGGCAAAGGGGGCAGTCCATGCTATAAATTCTGCAGGGTGCCCAAACTTTTGCAGACGCCATTTGTTTTGTTTTCTGTTATTTTGAAAGTGTAAATGATGGAAATAAAATCGAACTTTTGTTGACATATTATAAGAATGTCCAATCTGTAATTTGATGCCTTTTGGAGATTTTTTCCATCTTTCCTTGGCTTCTTTATGCACATTAATACAAAATTTTTTAGCTGGGGTGCCCAAACTTTCGATCCCCACTGTGTATATATATATATATATATATATAAATATATATATATATTCCTTTGGCAGAAAGGTGCTCCTGATGATCATGAAGGTGCTCCTGATGATCATAAAAATCATAAATGATCACACAGGACCTGTAAACAACTTTTGACTAATGAATGAGAATTTTAAAATGTATAAATATGAGCAAAAAAGAAAATGTTTAGAAGATAAATGTATGTGTATACAGGTAGAGTTGCGCTAATCTTCAAATACTCCCAAAAATGTACTTGCACAACACATAATACAGTGTAAAACAAACTAAAAACAAAATATGCAGCACTATTTTCAGTAAATAAACTATATGTGATCATATTAAATGAAATTAGTGTCCAAGAGTGTTCCACTCAATTTTTGATTCACTGTGTGTTAGTATAGTATAAACATGTTTTTTTTTTTTTAATATACGTTACTGTATATGTACTGAGTGGAACACTTTTGGACATTATTTTAATTTATTATGATCACATATAGTTTATTTATTATAAACTATATTTTTATTTTTTTTTTTTAGTTAGTTAAATGCATACCTTTTCAGAGTCAATTTTTCCCTTTGTAAATTCCAGCTTCCAGAACTGGAGGGCCTGCTCCAGTGTTAAACCAATACCCTTAAGGAAAAGGCCATACTGCATGCGCGGCCTCCATGACGAAGATGATGGTGCTCTCTCAAAGACTTGTGAAGTTGACGCATACAGAGTGGAAATGACTTTGCAGAAAGCTAAAGAAATAAAGTCAACAGATCATTATTCAAGAAAAAAAAAAAAAAATCAAACATCTTTGACAAAGTCATCACAGACCATCAAACTTCTCATAACACTTGTCAAATTAGAATGAGGCACCATTCTGAAAAGCTGCTATGCAGAGTCTGGATATGATCCAGTTAAAAAAAAAGAAATAGTGCAATGTCAACCTGTACTGAAACGTCAGTTTGCATTATTTGTTTTGGAAACCACCGTATGATTTTGTGCGAATGTCATTGGTTTGATTCAGTATATGCCTGTGTATTGTGTATATTTTTGAACATTAAAGTGGGCAAAATGAACCTAATAAATAGTACAGCATCGGTTTCTTTGAGAAGCCTGTACTCTGATATTGTCAGGGCTCCCGGGTATGACCAGAGGTGTGTGACTGACGCAGGGAAACGCAGACTTCAGATATGTTATAAACAATGTAATTTATAAACACTAACCATACAAACATAAACGCAGTGCAATACTAAAACATAACACAGTGCAAACAAACCAACCAACCACCCACAGATAACAGTACATACAATGCAAGCGTCGTCAGGCAGGCCGGGTCAATATCAGTCAGGCAGGTAGGTACAGGGGGAGCAAGCGGAGAATGGTCGGGGTCACAGGCCAGGTTCAGCAGGTAGCGGGCAGCGTGGTACAGAGGGTCAGGCAGAGGAGAATGGTCAGACAAGCCAGGGATCAGAGCAGGGTCAGCAGAGAATCAGACAGGAACAGAGAGCAGGAACAGGATACAGGGCCCAAGAGAAACACAACACCAAGGCCGAGTCTGCAGGTCTGAATGTCCCTTAAATACACCAGTATAATTAGTTCCAGGTGTTTGACTGGCTGCAAGGTTGAGTCTCTGATTGCTGGGAGCACCCGCTGGCCAGCCCTGGTACTGCAGCTCATAAGGCAGCTGAGTCCCACTATTGCTGGCCAGTCCATTCCTGACAGATATCACAAGCTGCATTACACATTTCCATGGCAATGATTAGTGTTAAAGCGTGTATTCACAATAGGTGTGATGGACTGCACTGGGCAAACTTGCCCACTGCAGTCCCAACACAAGACAAGGTAATATAACTTGGTTACAGTTGGCTCAGTTCACACAACTGCAATGCAGTGGGTTTGCAATACTTTTTTTTCAGTGCAATCCACTGTATCATGCCACAGCCTTCTCAACAAACACCAGCAACTGCTGGTGTGAATGGGCCCAAGTAAACCTAATAACTACAGAAACTATGTCTGCATTTACAAAGTGTCTTACAAAACTGCATACATCTTTTGGTTCTTATTTTTCCTTGAACCACACAACTGGAAAAATGGCTGAGAATATACCAAACTTGAAGCATGTCTGGATACATACAATTCAAATGTGATGCATACAATTTAAGGAAGTCAGGTATCTGCACTATTACCAAACACAAAAAAAGCGTAGTGAAGTAGGATGCTAGATGTATTTTTTTTTTTTTTTTTTTTTTTAAGAACTGGCTACCAGACAGTATGGTGTAATACTGTCATTTCTGTGTACAGGCTGAGTGGCTGTAACTATCTGCTTCCATCTGTGAATCCAGCCACAGGAATCTGCTGGATTGTTGCCACAGCTGGCATACAACTGCAGTATGTATGAGACATACTTGTTTAAGATGCAGGACTAGCTTACTCCTTTTTAAAGGTTCTGAACAACTCTGAAAGCTCTTCTGAAATCAAAGCAATTTACATTGCTCAGAGCAAAGGAACAACAAATGCAAATTCTGATCTTTCCAGTTAAGGCATGTCACATGAATAATTTGGAAGCAGCAATCTATAGTGGTACAGAATAGATCATTTTAGTATTACTGGTGCTAAGGAAAAATAAATAGCGGCCAATGAAAGGTCTGTGACACACCTTTTTTTGATAGGTGACTGAGTGATAGACTTTGTGCAGCAATGGAGCTCGTTCTAAAATCAATGTTATGTTATCCAATGTAGTTGACAACGTTACACCAGCAGTTTATAGTTTTGTAGACATGCAATTCACCTTCAAAACTAAACTCCCAGGTAGGCAAAAAAAATGACATTTTGATCTAGTAGAAAGACACTGCAACCTTGTGCAATCTTTAGGGCAAATAGAGTGTGTGTGTGTGTGTAACGCACACCTCCAAACCACTTCAAACTTACCACTCAAACAGAGGCAAGAGGCGTAACTAGAAACTTCAGGGCCCTGATGCAAGAAACCATGAAGCCCGGGGCCTTTCTCCCTGAACCCTTAAGGTCTCGTGTCAGGCCCCCTTCCTGCCACAGTAGCAGAATGCCAGGGCCCACTGGAAAGTACAACCTTTGTGACCCTGGTAGTTCTGCCACTAGTATTAGTAGTTGTTTTTTTTTTTTTTTTTTTACAATTTAATTTATTATTTTTTTAAGAGCCCCATTTGGGGGCTTTGATGAAAAATCAGGGGTCTCTGATCTTTCAACTTTGAGACAGAGAAAGGAGTTTGAGGACACAGCCCTCAATCTCCATCTCTGCAGCCTCAGCAGCACAGAATGAATGGACAGAAATAGCTCTGTACAGAGCTTCCCGTTCATTCACAAAATGAAGCATAGCAAACACAGTTTACGATGATTCATTTTTATTATTAAACAGAGTCCATGATCGGTACGATCACGTCTTTGTCCATTCAGAAAAGGAAGGGGCCGGTAAATTACATATTTACCAGTCCATTGCTTGCTCACCATCCTGACACATCCCCCACAGCAGCTGGCAGGAAAGGAGAGGTGGGAAGCTGGCAGTGCTGCAGGGGGAGAGGGGCCAGTGGAGCACACAGGCACCCGGGAACAGCAGGAGACAAGAAACCTGAATAGGTGGGGGCGGCATATAAGAGGAACCTATCCCCTCCATTTCCCTCTTGCAGCAGCTGAATGCCTGCAAAAGGGAGAGGAAGAGAAGCTGGCTTTCAACTGCTACAGGAGGAAAATGGAAGGCATCAGTTCCCCTATATGACACTCGCCACCACCTCTCCTATCCAGGTGTACAGGGGAGCCACACCCTCTGAAGCATGGGGCCGAGTCACAATTGTGACCCCTGTAGTTACACCCATTCACTCCAGTAACTCCCCTGCTGTCCATTCCTCCTGTTACGGTCATCACAAAAATATCTGGTGTCAACGTGCACTGGTTTTCAATCAATACATATTTCTTGAGGGTAGGCTCACAGTGTACTGCTTCTTATATATATAAAATTACATTAAAATTAAAATAACATTATATAAAATGGTATAATTTACGTAAACATATAAGCAATTACAGAAACGATACAGCTAATAAATGTACTCATTGCCAAGCAGTATTGTAATGAAGTATGCTTAACCACAAGGTACACTATGAACATTAAGGGATACATATTTTAATATAGTTGAGAAAGACTGATATAGCTGACCAAGGATGGAAGAGCATCATTACACTTTCATGGGAATTCAAATAGGATGCAGTGCAATTTTTGCAACATATATTTTGTAAGTGACAACAATTTTCAATAGTCATAAAAATACAAAGGTAAATCATATAAATGCTAACAAGTACAGTAATATTTATAATGTCACTAAAGTCCAATAACAAACTGACATTTTTTTTAAACTATGACAATGATGCCTGCTTTATAGTGGACCTTCACTCCCTCAGTCAACATGACTATTTTTAATCCTTATGCTGCTAGCATTAGTAAATAGATAGGAAGGTATAATACACTTACTTGTTTTGACCTTTTTTTTGTACACTTTTTCTTCCATGTTTCCATGCCTTGGCAAATGTCATACATTCCAGAAATCTTCTTGAGGGGTTTTCTCAGCTAAACGCAACCCTTTGCCTGCATGCCTGAGCTAAGGGCAGATGAATTCCAGAAAGTAAATACTACAAGACTCATCTGCCCTTACTCAAGATGGCCACGTACAGAAATGCTAAGGAGTATTTTGTCAAAAAGTGATTTCTGATAAAAATAAAATAAAGCATGGAAACATGGATGAGTGTGAGAGTTTGCTTTGAATGGTAAATATCAATAAAACAGCGTTTTTGATTTGTAGTGCAGTGTAGCTCTGCTTTAAATTTTTATTTAAAAAAAATCACAGAACATCACTGTGTAACTTAAGCTGTTTACAGCTTGTTGAATATGTATGTTTAGTAATAACGTACAGAAAAAAACTGAAGGAACTAAAAACTTACCGCATCAATTTGGTCAAGTGAAATTTTACCAGTGTTTCTTTGTGAACTGAAATCTTGACCAATGTAAGAATGGCTATCAAAAAAAAAGAAAAAAATATTTTAAAAACATATTTATAAAATGCTTCAATTATAGCAGAATTCAAGAGCAAGTCAGTGCAATCAAGAAGCCAGCAGGCATATAAAGGTGCAAGTATACTTCTGTCTTCCATCAGTAATATACAATTAAGTTTTAGCACATTTAATGTGGATTTTTCAGTAACTTTCCAAAAATACATCAAGCAAAAACAATTTTTTTTTTACAGTTTTTGTTTTTAGCCTCTGTTATTTGTTTTCATTTCTGGCAGCTCTGGGTGCTTTGCTGCTATCCCTGCTGACAGCTGTGGTAATCAGTGTTTGAGAGGGTGTATTACAGCTCCCTGGGACCTGCTTACTGATTATATGCTGGTGGGTAGCCCATTTTAGACAGGCAGAAGAGATCGGACAGGCATCCTGGTTGCCTGTCCGATCTCTGTCCCAGAGGCTACCTGTCCGTCATGCTGAGCACCTTTTTAACTTTGTGAGTGTTTTTTTTACACTTTCCATTCTACACTATGGTTGTTACACTTCGCTCCCCCTTACAAAAACAAATACCTGACATGTAACAATACTGTTTATAGCAACATAAAGACTTTTTAACATAAAAAGCAGTCCTTTGACTCCAGCTAAGTGCCTTTGCCTAGGAAAGGATGCTGCCATTATTCTGATGTAGACAGGAGGAAGCATGTTTTCAGTCTCCTTTCCCTAATGTCCCATTCAGATCTAGCCATATTTAAAGCATGATCTACATGCATTTCCACATGTGGTGCATAGGGCAGCCCATTCACTTCAATGGGCTGCCACATGTGGTGCATAGGGCAGCCCATTCACTTCAATGGGCTGCTTTATGAAAGTTTGTGACCCAAAAGAAGTTCCTGTTCCTGTTTTGGCAACAAGCTTATCATGATTTTAAACCCACCATTGTCGCGCGACAGTTGGAGCTAAACCGCACTGCATTTGGGGGACCATTAAGAATAATGGCATCCAAACACACATTGCACGTTTTACTGAAATTTGTAATTGCAGGCAGAATCGTGGCACTTCTGCCTGCGATTCCAAACCGCCTAATGTGAATGTGATCAGACTACTGTAGCAAACATTAGTAAATACATAATAAACAAGGTGCTTATGCGCTTAATGGATGTGTGACTTTTTTGAAAAATATGTATGAGTGATATCCAAATAAACTGAATGCTGCAGTCCCCTACTTGTGTAAATTAACGCAATAAAATGATAATATAGAAAAACACAATGAGATTGCGCATAATTAAAAATAATAGTAAATAAAATAAATAAACATATACACATTAAAGTCCCACAAAAAATTATTATGAAATCGCTGAACCAGCATCTTGTTTTAGAGAGTAAATGTTAACACAGGAAGATACTTAAATAAAGACTCTTCCATCGCTGAGGTGTCACTGGGACACTGATCTCTCAGCAGTTACAGAGATACTGAGAAATGCACTACTGTCCACTCATTGTGTACCTCCAGAACTCACCTCTCACACATGGATCTCCTCAGGCTCTGCTGTTCTGGGTTTTGCTAGGTTCCCAGGCCATATAACCTGCGGCCAAATTTCGTTCACTAGACACTACCAAAGTGTTCATTATATAAATAGTATGAATTTTATACATATTTTTAAAATGGAAAATTAAACACACATACTCCTTTGGAATTGAACAGAGATTTCTGATTTTTTTTTTTTTTTTTTTGGCCACTAGATGGCGCTGTCACTGATCTTGCAACTAATTAACTTGTGATTTTTGATATATCTGTATATAGAATTTGTTTGTGTGTGATCAAGATTTCTTAGCACCTTAGTACAATCTTTTGATCAAGCTTTGATTTGGTTTTTAGATGTGGGAGAAGGATCAGGACAGAGCTATGATTTGGCTATAGTATTGATATCTATTATCTCAAACACCACAGATCTCTTAAAATATAGAAGTCCCTGGGTTATGGTAAGGAGCTGGAGCACTTGGTTGTGTGATGCACTGAAGGAACCACTGGATTGCATAGTGTTAGGCATATCACATTATGTGGATTGAACCTATCTGCATTCAAAAAGAACTTTTGCTTATAGGATTCACATTTACAGGGATATGCACTTACTTTATATCTTTTCGTGATTTTCTTGTGATTTTTGTTTACATGGCAGTGCATATACTTATTCATATATATTTGATTTTTTTAAAATTTTTTAAAGGGCTAGCGCACCTATTGTGTTCTATGTATGGATATTTGTGTGCTGCCTTTATTATTTCATACTCTTCATATAGAAAAGGATGTTTGACATACATGTACAGTAAATAAAACACACTGCATAGAGTTTTAGCTCAGTTTTACTGGCCATAGACTACTTGAAACTCAGATAATTCCAGATAAATTCACTTAGTTGTTGGCCCTATCAGACCAACACAGCTCAACATCCTTTAATTATAAAATGTAAACAGGTGGGCAGAAAATTGTCGGCCATATCTAGTCACAATGCAGCCATTGTTTGGTATTCTGACAGCCACTGCCAGCATCTGTCAGAATATCCCAGCTGGAAAATTCATCTACCCACAATGTATAGCATTGGTGGAGGAATTGGTTAGATTTTGTTTTTCCATTCAGCCCACAGGCAGAGGAAAAAAAATATCTTGTACTAAACAGTCTTTTACAATTTTTTGTGAGGAAACTGAGGTGATTTTATACTTTAAATGACTACTTAAATTAAATATTTGGTTTATTTTGAGGATTTACTGGAACTCTATGATATACGTGTGCAAATGGTATATATAAAGCGAGCGCACTGTAAGATCAAAGTGTAAAATATCAGCATCTGTGCACAATGGTAACCAAATAAACCTTTAAATAGACAAACAGTATATAAGTGCAGCGCTAGAAACTTCGTAATAATAAATAGATGCAAAAACACATAAAATGCATATATGGTGTTTAGAATGAGTGATCAAATGATAGTTCGTATTGGTGACAAATCGTGCCTGTCTAGTACTGATGATAAATAGAAAGAGAAAAATAGGTGCAGCGCTAGAATCAAAATACAAATAATTCTCTATAAGGTATATATACGTGTGAATGTCAGTGGTCAAAAAGATGTGACACAATGGTAAACAGTGCGTTAATCAATAAGAAATGTTAAAGCACACATAAAGTCCTCATCCCAGATTAATGGTTGAAGAGAGGTGAAGAAATCCTAGGAGCAGATAGAGTGCACACTCACCAGAGGTGCGTTAAAATAACGCATGTAGAGAAATATAATCTGCAAGATCTCTCCAGCATCAGAGCTCTGGTCAGATCGCACTGCGTACTATCCTCTGTCTCACCGCGAAGAACAGTAGCCAGGATTCATCAAACCGTATGGGCGTCAAAGTACTCCTTAGTCCAGATAGGCACTGTGGGAGATGGTGCTCTCAAAGAGAGCCCAATAAAGGACGCCACATAGTGTGATGCTGTTTGACTCAGGTTTAATGGTCAAAAAGGTGAAACAACAAAAATTACTGACCATAGAATGTTGGCCACATATAGTGGCTAGATGTCCATAAGCTGTAGCCCCCCTATATATTAAATCCTGATGTCATCAGAGGGGGTTATCTGGGCCAGGTAAGGTTTAGAAATGGCTCCCTCTCAGGGTGGGGTAGGTCCTGGGGTTTATTGGGGTGATCCAAGTAGGTCCAGTGTTTCCCCCCTTTAAGGGATGGGTGGGTGCAGTTCATGGTGATTTAACTGGAGACTGCCTTTGGCAGTCCCCTCTGAAGACGTGCTGGTGCACGAAACGCGTAAGCAGGAGCCAATTACGCCGTGACGTCACGCCGTCAAAGCATAGTGGATCTCCGGCAGCCATGTTTACTAGTGAACGGTTAGTCCATTTCCTTATCGATCTGTCACTTTGATTTATACTTGGATGCATCCATTTTAACTAATAAATTTGATAAAACATACTACACTATGGGTATCTTATAACCTAACTCCTTTGGGGAGTACTGATTTCTCAGACGCCCAGTGCCAACCCTAAGCCTTCAGAGAGGGAGTATGCAGTTCAATCACCACGAGCTGCACCCACCCATCCCTTAAAGGGGGGAAACCCTGGAGCTACTTAGATCACCCCAATAAACCCTAGGACCTACCCCACCCTGAGAGGGAGCCATTTCTACACCTGACCTGGCCCAGATGACCCCCTCTGATGACATCAGGATTTAATATATAACGCGCATATTTACTGCGCGTCCGGTGAGTGCGCATTTCTTCTGTTTTGGATTGCACGAGCACCGACCACTATCATCAGTACTACATGGGCACGATTTGTCACCAATACGAACTATCATTTGATCACTCATTCTAAACACCATATATGCATTTTATGTGTTTTTGCATCTATTTATTATTACTAAGTTTCTAGCGCTGCACTTATATACTGTTTGTCCATGATATACGTGTTTGTTGTTATGTCTGTCAGTTTTTAGTTTGTGCACATTAAGAACAAACAATTTTATAATATAATGATTGATTAAAATTGATGTTTTAATATTTTCACTGTGTTCCCAGATCTCATCTCTTTAAGAACCTTAATATATTTAAATTTGAACGAGTTACATAGTGTAACATGTTGTAATGGAGTCTGTCCCATCGTTAATTATCTGAATATGAATGAATGGATATATATATATATATATTATACAATTTAAAAAATATACATAGGGAAAATGTATTTATTTATTAACCTTTAAAGGCGATCATCAGATCGCAGATGCAGTGTCAGCCTCCAGTAGACTGTCTATGTAGCTGACTGCCTGTACGGAATATCAGGAAGATCAATGAACTACCAGAGCGCTCTGTGAATGAATGACGCGGACGTGTGGGTGGAGCCACGTGCTTTTTGAATAGTGGCAGGGGGTGTGGAGAAAGGATCCCTGGCCCACTGTCACGGGGGGGGGGGGGGGGGGGGGTGTTGATGAGTGGGTGTAGGGAGATGCAGAATGAGTGGGTGTAGG